AAAGGGATAACCAGGATTGGGTTAGGGGAAATGGGAAGAGTGATGAATAACTGAAGATCTAGGACACTGGCTACAGAATTGATGCTGAGTGTCTTGTCAGGCCCTGTGAACCATCATGCTTCACGGCCATCACTTCCCACTGAATGCCTTGGGGTCACAGGGCTATAGGGCATCATAATGACTCTCTACTCATTCTATGGCAGGTACTGGAAGTTGCTTTTCTAATCACAAATTGCAATCTGGAATGAGATGGTCACATATTATTTAGCCTCCTGTCTAGTTCCCTAATTAGTAAGTTGATAACCATGTCACTTATCTTTAGTGCTTAGATATTTTTTGTAATTAATAACTACCCACACTTCAACAGATATAAAATGCCTCTTCTTGCATTTCCCTGCTTACTCTATTGCATTTTCAGTCACTGATACATCTGCTTCTCTGGATAATATCATGGAAAGCAAGACAGGTCAAAGGAAAAACATTACCTCTCAGGTTCTGTTTGTGTGAAAACAGAAAGACAAATCTCACTCAGGGGTATGTGTATGTTAGGGGAGACTGACATACTGGCCACCTGTCTGAATAGTTTAAAGGATCCAGTGAGGAAAAACATGCCTTTAGAAAACGTAAAGCCCTGTACACATTAGACCTAGTCTACCGGCTTTCTATGTGTCATTTTTTTTTTCTATTCCATGTGCAAACACAGTAGAGAAAATTTCTTGATGGCTACATTCTGAATAAACAGCATTCACCGAGTTAATATTTCTCCTTAGTCTACCTGTCTCATCTTTGAGTTTACTGACTCTTGTGTAATTATTTAAATCTTGGCATTTATTCCCTTCGATGTTTAGGACACTGGTAGCACAACTGATGGACCTTTGGAAAAGGCCAAATATTTGACTTTGATGTTACTCTCTTCTCTGCCGGATATATCTTTATACATGTTTTTCCTCATGATGACCCTAAATGAAATTTTGGTGGCATGAAGGCCTGTTCATCTGTGCTCAGGGAAACTCTTTGCCTTTCCTGGAGGTCTTAATTTGGCTTTTATTTGCCTGAATTTGGATCATAATCTAGCCCAGTGTCTAGCCTCTTAGATAAGGCTGTAATAATTTACAAACTATAACCATAAGCCCTTTCTCTATGCTGGCCCATATTTCAGGTCATAATGCCTTCCTGTGAGAATTTTTTATTAAAAATTTATTAAAAAGTGCTTCTCTTACTAGTGATATTTTTATTTATAAACCAGCAGTATTAGTTACATATTTCTGGGTTTTTCCTTCTGTTGGATTTTTCTCATTCCTATATCAGGAAATAACTTAATATGTTAGGATGAATTTGAAATCTGATTCTCAACTGAGAAGATACTGATATCTATGACATTCTAAAGCAAGCTTTTTAATAATATCACTTCATTGAAGCACAATTGGCATGTAAAAAGCTGTACACATTTCACAATTTACAACCTACTTTTGAATAATAAACCTCCATTCATTTCCGCAGAAGCTCTGACTTAGGCACCAGCCTATCTTCCTCCTTGTCTTCAAAGCTGAGCTTGTCAAGGGTGTGGCCTGGGCTCACTTTTCCTTAATTTCTCATCTCCTGCTAAAGTCCATTCTCAGTCCTTCTCGACTAGGCCTCTGTTCTCATTTCTCAGGTGATGTTGTTGGCAGAGCTCAACTGCCTCAGCCAGCAGATGTTTTCTAGTCTTAGTTGGCTTCTTCGTGCCATTTACCACCATTAACCATTCACTATCATTTTGAAAATGTCAACTTTCTCAGCTCCCACGAGCACATGCTCTTCTGGTCCCCCTCCTCCCACTGACACGGTCCTTCTCTGTCTCCTTGTGCTGCTTGCCCTCACAGCATCCAGAAAATTCCATGGCTCTACCCTTCATTGCCCATCTTCTCAATATCTACACGTACCCCAAGTGAGCTTGTGTGCTCAACTTGGTTGTACTGAACATAGGTTGACAAGTCACAAATAAATGATTTTTGGCTTAGACTTCTTTTCTGACATCAGATCCTTGTACATGAACGGCCTATTGGATATTTCTACCTGCATATACCACAGGCATATAAAACTCACTTCACTATCATCACCTCAAAAACCTCTTCCTTTTCATTCCTTGGTCTAAAGCATAGGCCTTCCCCGAGGGAAGCTTGTCATGTTGGCCGGGGAAATAAAATGTGAGTGCATGGGAGAATCACAAACAAGCTTGTGTTGTTTTTTTTGTCAGTTGGCATAATGAAGCAGCACAGGACTCAATGGGACCACACAGCCATCAGGGAAGAGAACCTTAGGGAATAAAGTTTGGTGATGGGGAAGATCTGATGGGTGCCAGGAGGATTCAGAGAGGCGGGAATGTCCAAGCTGGGCAGGAGCTGTCCAGAGAGCATCCCTGGAGCTGGTGCAGCTGCATTCCCTCAGTTATCCCAGCAGGTGCTTGTAGAGGGTTTTCCTCATGTCAGAAACTCTTCGGTTCTGGAGGACCATCAGTAGACAAGAGACAAGGCTCTTGGTCAGGGAACTTTCCACGAAGAATCAAGACAGTGAATATGCAACACATTAATTAAAATATAATTTTAGAGAGAGATAAATATGACCAAGAAAATCAGAGTATGATGAGCTACAAAATGAGAGGATGGGAGGATAGACATGATGAGGGTGCCCCCTGAGAGGTGTGACATTTGAGCTGTTTGATGAATGAATAAATGAATCTCCCCCACATTCCTCAGCTCTGAAGAGAAAAAGGTCTAAAAAAATGAAAAGGAACTCACAGGATGGGTGTGAGGCACTGAGTTTATTAGAATCTCTCCAACAAATCTGAAACAAATGTTTCTCTGGTTCACTGTCTATCTTCGATATTTAAGATAAGATGCAGACGTGTGGGAATTATCCCTCACACCGAGATCTCAGCTTTGTGCTCACAGTGCAGGGACAAGAGAAAAATTCTGAGTGAGGAGATGCCTCTCTGGAGTGTCTGAAATGAAAGATCCTCATCAGTGAGCAAACTTGGTCTCTTATTTATCTTTAATGGTATCCTCAAATCCTGCAGTTTCTCATATAACAGAACAGTTTTATAAATAGTGTCTTGACTGTTTATTCAGAGAATTGAATTCAGGATGCTGATTTCTGGGAAAAACAGCAATAACTAAGACAAATTCACAGACAGATTTTATTTCTAGTAAGAGGAAACAGACAGTAAATAAGTAAACAGATAAAAATATAATGCCAGATGGCGATAAATACTATTAATAAAATAAAAGGGAGGAGGGCAAGGGGATAGAAAGTAATGCAGGAGAAGCAATTTTAGAAGGTGTTTCCCCGGAGGTGACATTTGTGGGGAGACCTGAAAGGCGAGAAAGCACCAGCCCTAGGAGGGGAAGCGAATCAGGAAGGGCAGTGAAACAGGCGGCTAGGAGTCTGGTTTGCTCAGCAGAGGGATACTTTCTTATTTCGATACTTTGCTATTTACACCATACCTTTTCAGAAATATGACATTTATTCCAGAAAGGGAATTCCATTCGACCTATAGACCTCTTCTATGAAGTGAAAGATGTTTTCTAAAGTCTTCTTATCATCTTGAATGAACAGGTGTCCTCAAAAAATGCAAACTCAGTTCTCCTGCCAACATGAGATTCATAAAGAGTGATGCACAAAAATACTTAGTTTTGCTCTTGCAGCAGCAGGGGGATAAAAAGAAGTAAATACAAAACTGGCCCTTTATGGGCTCCCTGACTTGAAATTCAGTGAAATGAGATGTAAGACCATGAATGTGGGCTAAGCGTCGTTACAGAGGAGGAAGGAGAATGTCATTCCTGAGTCTCAATTCCCAAGCTCATGTCTCCACTCCACCTTTGGAAAGCCCACAGCCCTCCCAGGGGGTGTATAATTTGTCACATGGAATAAGAAGAAAGAACTAAGCCTCGCTTGCCATGGAGGAGGGGCCAGAGCCACTGGTACCCGGTTTCCATTGCTCTTTGGTTTCTGTTTGGAGATGCTGCTCTCAGGGAACACGCAGTGCTGACCTGGGGAATTTCTGCCTGGGGTTTTCAAATGACCTGGATGAGCTGGATGATGAGACAAATCTTTTCTTTAAAGAGTGTGTTAAGAAAAGGATGGATTTGTAGTTTGAGCCTGGGAACTGAGTCCTATCCCCATTATACTTACTGTGTGGCTCTCAGCCAGTCCCAGAACTCGTCTCCTGGGACAGCGAGGACCCCGTGAGTCTGGTTTTTGGTCACTGCAAAGCACTTTGACAATATTGGCTATTGTCCATTATTGTTCCAATTAGCATTGTTTGTATTCTTTCAGATTTAAAACAAGGCTAACTGTAGATTGTTCCTTCTAGGGATTTATTTTCCCTAACAAACTCACCAATTTGAATGTTTTTTGTGCCATCCTTGTTTTGAAACTGTGTGTTCTGATTATTCAATTCAATACCAGTATTTAAATCTGGAAAAGAAAACAATGGAAATTGCACAGAAGGGATTAACAAGATAGGTGAGGCATGGATTTAATCGAACATAGATTGAAGAAAGAGACAGAGAGAGGGTAAACCAAGAGTTAAAGAATGCAACAGATGGTGTAAAGGGTAAATTAAAAGAGAACCGCAGAAAAGACTCCGTGAAGGGGTGGCATGGGGGAAAACTCAGTTACTTGCACAGAGGTAAGGCAGGCCGAGCTGACCCAGAAGTGACTGACGCCCTGCGTAGGGCAGGCATGGGGCAGGCATGGGGCAGAGTGGGCCGCAAGTCTACAGAAGTATACGCAGTCTGTGGCTGGTAAGCATGGCAGCAGCCAGCATGTGATTTTCCAGTACAGCTGTCAACATCAGAAGGCCAAGAGCCGGAGGAAGGACAAGTCCCCACAGGCCCAGCGATAGGGCACATGAGTGAGTGATAATAACACCTCCTGGAAGCCAGAGAGCAGCTGATCAGGAATAGAAAATCTGGCATGAGTAGCAGGGTCTCAGAAAGCTTTCTTCCTTATACACTACACATACACACACACACACACACGCATGTCACCCTCTCTCTCTTATACTAAAAATTTATAACTATCGAGCATCACCTATAGAGTCAGAAGGCGTGATTTGACTCCTGCTTCCACCATCGACTGGCTGTGTGACCTTGGGCAAATTTCTCCAACTCTCTGTAGGATGGATGTACTGACTGGGTAGCACTCCCTCGCATAGGGCTGCAGTGAGGAGCAAATGAGATCGGGTGTAGGAGGTGCAGGCCACAGGGCCCAGCACGTAACTAATGCTCAGTGAAAAGGATGAATGAAAATGAAACCAGTGCTGGAGCCCAGACTGGGCTTGCATATGAGATTCAAGACAGTTTGCACAACAGAGACGTCCTTGAACCTGGAGCAACCAAGCCGTGGCTAATGCTGCATCTCAGAGGTGGGTGAATAACCCCTCTGTCTCTTCTGCCTGACTCAGGGTGGTTCCACAGACTGACACAGGGCTGCACTCCAGGTGCAGATTGGGGGTGGGGGGCAGGGTCAAGAAACCTGTCAGATGCGCAGTGCAGTGCCAGGCAGAGGCGCGAGTGTTCTAGACAGAGGGAGAGTTCAGCAGGGGCAGAAGCCTATAGGCAGTCCGGGAAGCTGTATAAGAGGGGCTGAAGGTGGGTTGTTCACTGGGAGGTGAAATAGGTGATCCGACCAAGAGGTCCTGACATAAAATTCCTGAGAGTTGGAGGTTGGCTGAAAAGATAAGAAAGATTGAGTGAGAACCCTTCAGGGTAGGGGAGATGTGAGTAAATTATTGGCTTAGAAATAGATGGCAGAAGTAAGGGTGACAGACATTCAATAAACGAGGGAGAGCATGATTGGTGGAACACTTAGGGAGCGAGGGGAAAAGGGATGACGTGGTTTGGCAGACTTATTTTTGGAATAAAGGAGCCATTTCTCTCCAAAAAGAGAAGTGTGGAGATGTAGAGAAATAGCAAGATCGAGAAAGAGGGTGAGGGGGCCTTTGTCTTGTGGCCTCCATGTCAGAGGAGAAGGAGACACCGGCCTCTGGTGGCTTGGAGTGGGGGACACGAGACAGCAGGCTTCAGGGGAAGGTGCCAAACAGTGGCTGTGGGGAATCTGAGAGCCAGCCGAAGGGGGATGAGTCACTTCACTGTTGTCATTTCTGCATATTATCTGGAATGTACCTACCCAGGCTGGCTCAAATGGAAACTGAAAGTCACCCATACCGATGGCCTGAAATAGCTAAACCAAGCTCACCCTCCCCTGCTCCAGCTAACACAAATTGTCTGTGCCTACTGCCCCCACTTCCTGCCACAAACTCTCGCCTGTACACACACACCGCTCTGCAGACTCCCCCCCAAGGTCACCCCTGCAACCTGGAGGGGCTTCTGCCTTTCCTCACTTCTTATTGGTGCTGAAAAAGAATAAATATCCTCTTTCCTTTTAAAACATTCTCCAGTTACCCTCTCTGCCTACCTTTTACACAACAGATTCCTTCACATATTGCAGGTTTCATTTTAAAAGTCACCAACTCAGAATAGGCTTTCCTGAAACCCTAACAGAAGGTCCTTTCTTATCCTATGTTCTTAGAACATTTTCCCCTTCCACCCCTGTAACATATAAAAAAAGTAGACCTGTTGTTTGGTGCATTTTCTGGGTCCCCCACTAGTCCATAAGCTCCCCGAGGACAGAGATCCAGCATTTAGCACAGAAGGAACACATAGTAGGCATAAATGTGTGTAGGATGAATGAATAATTCAATGAATGATTTAACTTTGCATGACCCTACCTCTTGCCACTGTGTGTTCCTCCCGCATCTGAGAGTGCAAAGCAATGCAGCTTTACATCAATGTCAAGTGTCATCTTCACTGGTTGGTTCCATTTGCTTCAGGGCCCCTTCCTCCTACCAGTCCAACTTGTCCCCTAGGTTGTCCTATGCAATCATACCATCTCATTACATTCTTCCCTGTCCAGGTTTACTCACCTTGAGAGCCTTCCTTCACTGACATATCCATTGTCTTCTCTTGAAAGGTTACTCAAGATGCAGAAAAAATTCTTAAAATTTCAAATGTTTCCTAGAATACTTTCCAGTTTCCTGACAAACACAACTATGAAACATGTAAGGGCTGTGAAAATGACCTGGTCTAGAGGCAGCCCTGAAAATTGTAGTTATGATCCCCAAGGTAGGAAACAAATTTAGTTCTAGTTGCCACAATGGTTAGTTCTAGGTACCAATATAAGGAGGCAGGTCATGTAGCAGAGAATCGTCACTACTCATGAGTCAGGTTGTGGTTTTCTGAAACTAGTTCTCCTGGCCTTGGCACAAGCTGATTAGTTAGCATCCTGGAGAAACATCTGCTTATGACTGTGGGCTCCAGAGTCAACTACATAGGTTCAAAGGCCAGCATCACCTCTTACTAGTAGAGTGGCCTTGGCTAAGTCATTTGATCTCTGTGCAGTTTCCATTTTCTTAACTGTGAACTGGTGGCAATAGTCATGGTTAAATCATAGGGTGGTTGTGGATAATAACAAATTGTGCATGAAGCACTTAGATGTGTGCCTGGCACATCGTGAATGCTGTCATTATTTGGTGATGAGTTATGGAAGAGAATCCATCCTAAAGCAGAGAACTGGCCAGAGAGACATGGGGATTGAAGTCTGCAGCCTGCAGGTGGTGGTGTGTGTGGGGCAGGTGACTAGGTTCCCTCTGCAGAGGAGGTGTGTCTGAAATGGACCCACACCCTGAGCCACTTGCCTGGAATGTGGGCGTAAGGTACCCAGAACACAGGCATGTCCTCTGAGTTGAGGTTCTCACTGATCCCCACCTGAGCCCCCTGTGCACACTGAAGAGTCTTCCTGGTTTGAGATGTGAACCTCATTCCTCACCAGGGTTGGGCTCTTCTTCACACCTGGTCCCACTGACTGCCTAGATCTCCTCCTTGATCAAGACCATACACATAAAGACAACACATGAGCCTCCCAAGGACCCTGACAGGAAGAACGGTCATGGGATGGGCCTGAAGTTCCAGCAATTCTACAAAGGGGAAGTTAAAGATTATCTTCATTGCCATCTGAATATATCCCATACCCCCTTGGCTGTCCCCATTTGTGTAATTATGAAATCAGAAATTGTGTTTATTTTGGAACACTGCAGTCCCCCCACACCTACATTTCCAGAATATTTCCTATGACCATCATACCAGTATCTTACATGATTTCAAACCTATGTGCCACCCCCAGGCAGATGGTGGAGTCTTTCTAATTGGCTCATGTTGTTCCTTTTCCTCTACTCTCACAAATCCTATGGTGGAAGCTCAACTATGTTTCCTTGCAATATACCAGGAGGTCTCCTCGAATGTATCATCGGTTTCCAAAACTAGTGATACCCTTTTCTGTAAAGTCCTAGATGATTATGTTTCTCAAATGCTCATACAAACCATTGGGAATTTTGGTAACATGCATGTTATGATTCTGGAAGTACTGTGTGGGGCCTGAGAACCTACATTGTAACCAGCTCCCAGGGGATGCCAGTGCTGTGGGTCTAATTTTGTCCTGTATCACAGTTATGTTTATGCCATTCCTCCCACTGTATTTGAGCCAGTAGAGGGTGGCACTGGTACCCTTATTTATCTTTATATCTTTGTAAGTGCCTGTGTATTGTCCAGGCTCTGGTGCCCAGTAAATATCTGTTGGATTCATGACAAATGCTTACAACTTCTACTTCATATCAGACTGCACTTGTATGCAGAGCTCCCCATCTCCCTTACTCTGGAATCACATACAGAGTCGCCCGTCTCTCTGACCCTGGGCTTACACGCAGAGCTCCTGGGCTCCCTTACCTTTTCTTAGTAAAAGGTATTTCATCTCGCTTGCGCTAAAACATGGAACGTCAACCCTGGGCCTAATCTGTCACTAGAAAGAATCTCCTCCATACTAAAACATTAAGGATTTGATGTATTACCTGTCTCAAGAATATTTGAAAGTAAAAGATCACCTGGGTGATAAGTATTTGACATATACAATACACTATAGGCCAAGTAATGTTTCTTGTGTTCCTCTTGGTAACTAATTTCATATCTTATGGAATAACATACCTCTTCTGGGTACATCTGAACCAGAGGAGAAGTGTTCCCACCACAGAGCTTATTTAGAATTTTCTTTTTGAAAATCCTTTATTATATAGACATCAGAATTGTATAGACAAATCTTCTTCTGCCTCTGTGTGTGGATAAATACCCGCCTTCCTATAACCTGGGGCTGGTATTTGTGATTCAGCTGCACCATTTCCTGCTGCCCTGGAACTTCAATGAGCATGCTGATTCTAGTTCTTTCCATGGTCCCATATGGCATCAAGTGATATGCCTCAGTCTTAGAAAATGCCCCCCTGCCAAAAAACATCTTCTTGTTCTTCTCAGAGGAATTGCCATCCCTATTCCATCCTTGCTTCTACTGGGGCTTGTGCTGCCTTCTGCAGCCACTGCTGCTTTGCGAATCAATGGACCTTGTCATCAATGCATAGCCAGCTCTCCACCCATGGTTCCATGTCACTAAATTCTGATGCTGCTAGGAAGAGAGGGAGAAATTGGCTCATTTTATGTGGGAGGTCATGTATTTTAATTTTCTTTATCATCTGACCTATGGTTTGCTGGAGAGAACTTTCTAGCCCCCTCTGGGGCCTCCTTCCCCTGTGTCTCCACCCACACAGTCCTCCAGCCTGGGTTCCTCTCAGTGTCCATGCCTCTGTAGCAGTAAGAGCACAAAGGAGCTGGGTTCTTGTGATGGGATTACAGAGCCCTTAACACTTCAGCACTAAGGGTCTTCCCAGGCCCCTGACTCCATTCCACGTAGCCAGCCATTCCTTTACACCCATGCCAACATTACAGCCCAGGTGTATTCATCGACTGAACCATAACTTTGGGACCTCCTGTGTCACAGCAGCCTCCCACACGCATAAAAGGTTTCTGAGTGTGGCTCTTTCTCAGGCTACGTACAGCCTCCCACCTCGAACCGCTGATGTTTAGAGCTGCACTTGATGTAGTGTGTTGGGCAATTTGCCGATAGAATATCACGGGTGGAGGCAGAGAGGCCTCAGAGTTCTCATCAGAGATTCCCTGCCCATCATCTCAGTGCTCCTGTTTCAACATTAGTTTTTATTCTGGCTACTTTAGTACCTATTTGCCCTCAGACAAAACACATGCTCCTTGGTACCTCAACATCATACCTGAAGTCTCTTTTGTGGGGGAGGCGGAGGCTGTCACTCAGTCATTTAAAATGACGTGTCTTTAAAAAAGACATGCTCAAGGCATGGCTAAAGGCCCAGCTGAAATCCCAGGAGCTGCAGGTGGGGAGTATTTCGCGGCAATCTGGGAGAAGGATTAAGGGTCTAGAGCAATAACTACCAAGCACGCTGTTCCAGAAATCAAC